CTTCAACTCCCAGAATTCCTCAGCCAGCTTTGCTGGCTGAGGAATTCTGGGAGTTGAAGTCCACAAGTCTTCAAGTTGCCAAGGTAGGAGACCCTTGCTCTATACAATTCTGTCACAGTTTTCTCCTGACTGTATAAACCGAAACTTAGAGGCTTTTAAAAGAGGAAATCACAAAAGACTTTGCAAGGTCATGGCCAGTGTACAGCCTCTTTGGGGATCAGAATCATGACTAAGGATTGTGTTTGATTACAGAAGTCATTAAAGTGCGGCTTTTTTCACGGTAAAGTAAAACAGGGCCTAACATGTCAATTTCCACTGTGAAATTTCAGTCTTCAAGTAAAATAGCATTTTATTTGAATATGACATCCCTATTCCACATGGATGCAAAAATCAAGTTGAGTTTCTTTTGAGATATAAAATAATGGCCATAACACATGTACCAAATTTAACTCTAATACCTCAGTTTTCAACTGGCAAACACACTTAGCAAAGGAATGTTGAACAGGGCTGAATTCCTTCACTAATCAGTTTAAGCACAGAACATGGTTTCTATGATTCAGAACAGGTTGGCCTTTATACATTTATAACTACAATTTATAGAATACAAAAAATGGCTTTCTTACTCTCACATCTCCAACCAACCTCAAATTATACACGTGCACAGCTTCAGAAGAAAAAAAATGAAATTTGTGCTATGATCTCTGCTTTCAAATAGTCTATCCGCCACTATATCTCAGCCCTATGTAGTCTTAAGAGGACAAAGGGTGGGTAGGAAGCAACTGGCAATTTCTTGAACCTCTTGGCAGCTACAGCCTCAGTCTCTATATTGAAAAAAGGTTTTCATATGGATTCACTTACAAAGACTCCCCCCCCCCACTTTGGCCAATTGTGTTGCAACTGGCTTTAGAAAAAGACATATGTAGTTCTTTTCCAAAGCTTGATGCTCTACACATGTCAAAGTAGAGCTGGTTTGAACCATAAGGCGATGTGTGAACCACTTGCATACTTTGCAACCTCCAGCGTTTTAGATTTTGTCAGATGCAAAGACTTCCCACAAATCTTGCAATTCAACATGGCGAATAAAGAGCCTATACAGCATGCAACTGTAAATAAAATTAATTATATGTTTGAAAAATGTACGTCCAAATCACACAGATTGCATTCTGATACAGTCCATTTTATGATCAAATCTGTGATGCATTGATGCTATTATCTGGTCCTAAGAAAAACACTTGTAGTACTGCAACCACAGAATAAAAAAAGACTCTGCTGCAGAGTGTTTCATGGCTCAGTAGTTTGTATGGCTTCTTTAAAACTATTCACATTTACTCTCATCTGTGCATCTTTGGAAAGATGTAACTGCTTCAACAGTTGGCAAAGAAATAGTTGATGTGCTCTCCTGAATTCTGAAGTATCTGTCAAAAGATTTGCACAGTCCTGTCCTGCTCTGCATTGCAGTGCATATCTGTAACATTTTATGTCGGACCTCTTGTAACCTGGTTAAGGGTTAGGAAAGAAAGACAAGTGCCCTGACCTGTATATATGAAGGGTCTTTGATAGATTCCTAGTAATCCTCTACAGTAAACATGATGCTGCCATCATGGAGGTTTGTGGATTAGGAAAAATGATCTCCCTTTTTCTCCCAGAGAAAGGAGTCCTGCTTTGCCCTTGTGAACAGAATTGCATGCAGATTATTAACAAGTGTTTGTACTTCAGATAGAATCTCCACGCCTTGGGTAATAAACTCACATATGTAGAATGGAAACAGTGCTGGCAAGTCAAATATTTCATAGACTGGGAATGTTTCATAATCCTGAACGTTCATATTATTTCCTCTGCTGTTAAAACAGTTTAACAACAATGTAGGCAAGAAGACATAAACTACTACTTAAACTGTGAAACTAGTCTAGGCTTAGAGTGGTGTTTTTTTTTTAAAAAAAAAGAAGCACACTTATTATTTGATGCTTTGCCACTGGCCTTTGCGGCAGTTGTTCTTGTTAAAAAATGCAGGACCACCGACCTTACCTATTGACCACACAAATATACATTATGTTCTATCCTAGGCTTCCCCCAAAAGCACTAAGTAAACTCTGAGTCCCAGCAAAACCTCTTTTATTAAATGAATGTGAATTTATTGCATTCACATTCAGCCAACTGCCTGGCAAACAGTCTAGCAAAGGTATAATTATTAGCTCAGACCTCATCTATCTTGGAAAGCTGCCCGGTAAATATTTCCACACACACTGCTGACAGGAAAGGGCTAGGCACAGAGTCTCTAGGTTACACAGACAGACCTTCATGAAGCTGGAACGAACGAACAATTGTTTCCTGCAAAAGCCCCCTCCCCTTTTTCTGCTCTTTTAATCCTTATGGGAGGGGCTATTCGTTGTCCACCTGTGGCCTTACTCCCACATCGACCCTGAGTTCTTAATTGTTCCTTCCTTTTGGCAGCTCTGTGCATGCACAGGCAGGGAACTGGTTCCAGAAGCTCCCCCACCTCACTGCTGTCTGAGCCCAAAGGCAGCTGATGACTGCCAGCCTGCCCTGGCCCATGTCTGCCTCTGACGCAGAGCCCTTTTCCGAGCCTTCCTCAGCCTCTAGGACTGGCCCAGGTTCCTCCCCAACCACCTCACTGTCCGACTCTGCTGCCAGCTCCGTCAGCCGGCAGCGGCCACAACACATTAATGGCAAAGTTCATGAGTTCAAATTGATATGATTTAATAATTCACTGTCATCTTTAAAAAATGTTTATACTCTCTTGCAATTGGTAAATGCATTTTACTTAGAAGTTGAAAGTTTAATCATTCTTAGCCAAGTTTTATTCTGTGTGTGTCTACGGCTGTATAAATATTTTTGAATGGTAAGAGAAGCAGATTCTGCCATATCTTATGCTTTTTTAAAATTGCTAATTACACCTGTGGTCAAATTTCCAGGTTAGCCAGACCCTTTTTGTTTACAATTGTAAACCATCTGATTTATGTGGTTTTATTTCTCTGAATGTGGCTAAGTTTTGTTTTACTGTTTGTAAAATATGCCATAGTTTGACCACATGAGAGTTATAATTAAGTTTGGCTGTGGTTTTTACTTGATGTCTCAGATGTGGATTTATTTTTGTTTCTGAATTGATCAATGGTCGTAATAAAGTTTACTACTACTACTATTACTACTACTGCTACAGCAGCAAATGTTAGGTAGTTCTTATGAAGTAATGAGAGCTTGGATCTGAAAAATTATACCATGTAAAGATGTTTGACATGGAAAATAACTGTGTATTAAATGATGGTGAACAAGAGCAGTAGACTATTATATTCACCTTCACCTTGTATTTACTAACAATGGTAAAGCAGATGCAGACATTTCAAGATGTGCACACACTGATAGAATATTGCAAAGAATTAATATTTATCCAAATATAGGAGATAGGTTCAGTGGCTGCTGAATGAATGTGAATTGAATAGAAAACTTGAATACAAAGTATGAAGGTGGTATGGTCATATACAGTAAATGACCTAAAAGAATACTGAACTGCAAAACAGGTCAAGAGAAAAGGAGAAACTGAAAAAAAATTGTGGCTAGATAGAATTAGTGAGCTCTTTGGAGAGGTGATAAGTTTCAGGGGAAAAAACACAACAGATGAAGCAGCATATAAATGCTTTGCAAAGACAGAAAGATATAGGGAGGCACAGAGAATAGTGTTAGTGCAGAAATTATTTCTTCTTGTTTGTCTTATCTCATATTACTGTTTCATGTCAGTGCCGTGGATATCAGAAAATCCAGGCAGTTCAAATGGGTATAAAGATTTAGTACAAGCTTAAGCTCTTTACAACTCTGAACTGCTAATGGTCAAAACAAATTAGTGGTAGATATGAGTCAATGGAATTCAAGGTAGGCTGCACTTAGATATCTTGTGAGCACGAAGAGACTCATGACTAATGATGTGTTTGACCCCTTCCTCAGGCTCCTTTGCCTCTTCTCCTACATTTCCTTGACTTAGTATGTCATACTTTTTTTCTGCACTTTGTGTAAAGTTGCTTACCCCAAAAGGGAACAGCATGATGGATATTTATGTAAGGATCCTGGGTAAAAGCCTTTAGAAAACTCTAATTTATGTGATGCCCAGCAGAATTTCTGCCATTCCCAATCTATTTGATCCTTTTTAGAGTACAAATTAGATATACAGAATATTCAGAAAGAAGCTATCTGGAGGAACTGAATTTAACTAGAAGAACTGAGTCAGCACTCTTGGGGGTCAGGAGGTGTGATGGAGTCAGAACATTGATAGATGGGTTTATTTTTTTTACCCTGGTTGCTGTTTATATGCATTGATTCTGGTTGGGGTTTTTTTTGGTTTTGTTTTATTTTTTGCAATTTTTGAACATTTTGAGCCACTCAGTATCATGAATGGGCAGCTATATACATTGAAATTTGGTCATTTCCATAGAGATTAGACTGGCCCCTACTTTTGACACTTTTCCACAAGGGCCTGAAAACCTGATTCTGCCAACGGGCCTGGGTGGGACGGAGCCCACCAAGTGGTTTGTTTGATTGTGTGTTGTCACCAGGGAAGAGAGGTTTATTGTTTTTTATTCTTTTATATTGGGATTTTATCATTTGTAAGTCTCCGAGTCTCTCAAGAGTGAGTGGGCAGCCATATAAATCTAAATAAAAAAATACATCTATATCTGTATCTGAGTAGCCCCATTGTAAGATATGACGCAAATAAATTTAAGAAATAATAAGTAAATTAGATATAGGCTTGCTGTTTAAAAATAATAGAAAATATGATACCATTCTGTTCCTACCATCATGGAATCTTTTTCTCTAACCAGGGTTTAAATGGAATATTCTTTACGTAAAGATGTATTAGTAAGAAATGGATTAAATAAATCACTTTCTTTTCCTTCACAGGTCCACCAGGAAGAAGAGGAAAGCCTGGACGACGGGGAGAACCAGGTAATTTGCTTGTACTTCTTATAAACTAATGTTGGTAAATTAAATTATATACACAAAGTAAAAGGTGGGAAAAATTTCTTCTAAGAATAATTCTCAATTTATCATCAAAATTAAGCCCCAAATTTATGTTATTATGTGAGAAATTCATGAAGTGAGTTCTGCCACACTTTATGACTTTTCTTGTCATATTTGTTAAGTGAATTGTTGTAGTTATTAAATTAGTAACACAGTTGTTAAGTGAATCCTCATTGACTTTGCGTGTCAGAAGGTCGCAAAAGGGGATCACGTAACCTCAGAACTTTGCAACCATCATACATATGAACCAGTTGTCACGAGCCTGAATTTTGATCACGTGACCATGGGGATGCTCCAATGGTTATAAGTGTGAAAAATGGTGATAAGTCATTTTTTTCAGTGTCTTATAAGTAAGGGCTGTGCTGCTTCTTTCTTTCTCAGCTATTACTTTCCATCTGAAAACTTACATTTCTGAACAGCAGTTGGAAGGAATATCTTCTTCTGATGGCAGATTAGTGTCATTGGATAGTGAATCACTGAGTGGCTAATTAGGAAGGAGATGCAGTCTAGAAAAAAACAGGAAAAATGTTGATCCACTTGGGATATGGCCCCAGGTCATATTACACACATGCACTCACTCACACACAAACACACACACACCACATACTCACTTTTAAGAAAAGGAAGGCACACTCTAGATATTAAAGTAACATGTAGTTTAATTCTGAGATGTACAGGCTCTGTTGCCTGTCTAATATTTGGGCTACTAGGATCTGATACAGACTTTCATGGCTAATCATCACCCTTTTCCCAAAACTTAATCTACATTGTATTAAGCCATAGCTTACTTAATTATGGTTTTTGAATAAATCACAGTTGTTAAGATTCACCCATTGCACAGCCATATGAGCCATGATATATCAATTACAATGACTTGTTTCTTAAAATATGCTAAGCCAAAATTAAAAGCACATTGCATTAAATTGCATGATGTGCAGAAGCAACTAGTGTTTCATGTAGAAAACAATTACTGTAGACCTGAATAAGCAAACTAAAGAGAAATGGAATATTGGAAGGTGAAAAGGGAAAGTGAAAATGATTATTTTTTTGATCAGTGACAGGTTCATATCTTTTTATATATTTTTTTCATTTTGAATCATTCCCATTATCTGCATTAATTTCAGAATAGAATCTTTATTATTCTATTTCTATGCCTTTTCTAAATGTAACCCTTGTTTGGATTAGATTATGATAGTCAAATAATTCAGCAAAAGTTCCAAGCATCATTATCTTAATTCCACTAAGCCTTCCCTAGAGCTTAGTTTCTTGGGCTTAGGAAGACACACCTAATGACTAGGCAAATGGCTAATGTAAAGATGGGAAATGTAGGCAGAGGGAGCAGAAAGGGAGATGTGTGTTGCTATAATAAAGAGGCAAATATGCTTTGGCAGAGATAGAGAAAGAGAAGGTAAGGCTCCGATGCTAAATGTCGTAGCATTGCTCCAAGACCTCAGAAAGATTTAATGGAAAGCAGGTGGACCCTTTTATTTATTTTTTAAATCATTGCAACTTTTCTTATAAGAAAGTACCATCATGCAACAAAAATATTTTGCACTTCTTTCTGTCTAGAATTATTTATCTTCCAATTTCATTAAAACACAAAGAATGAAAGAAAATATGAAAGCTTAAAATTAATGCTTTTTTATAAATGGGAGGGACAGCTAGTGGAAAAGATCTGAGGATGATGTTAGATGAGCTGATGGGTAGAAGAGCTTAATTGTTTTAGCAGCAGGGCTTAAGTAATAGATTTAGGCTTAGATTGGAGAAAGAGATGATGAAAACATAAATCAGAGCATTATCTAAGACAGAAACGCAAGATGTGCAGTCTCATCCCTTATACAGCTCAATGGGAAGTTGTTTGTGGTCTGCAAAAGTTTTGGGTCTCCTAAATCAGGGGTCCCCAACCACCGGTCCGCGGACCGGTACCGGTCCGTGGAACAAGTCCTACCGGGCCACTGGCTTGCTGGGCGCCGCCATCTTGTTTTGATGAAAAAGTGCTTCCGGTGAGCTCACCGGAAGCACTTTTTCATCAAAACAAGATGGCGGCGCCCAGCTGATGTCGGTACCGGGCCGCACCATAAAAAAGGTTGGGGATACCGGGCCGTGGCATAAAAAAGGTTGGGGATCACTGTCCTAAATTACTCAACCTGATTACTGCTACCATTACTCCGTGCCTTCCGACTGCTGCTTTGCCCACATAGGACCCACTATATTTCGATTCATTTTCTCTATCTTGCTTTATAGGTCCTTCTTTTTCCTCAAATTTTTGTTGCTGCTCTACTCTTAACAGTTCTTCACTTCTTCTTTCTGGGAGCCACCTGGACCTCTCCACATATTTTCCCACCTTTTGCATTTCCAGTTGTTTTTATAACTTTTTGACTATCCAAACCTTATCCAAGCTTTCCTCACCCATTCATACACTGTCTACAACACCTGCCCACACCTTTCCTCGCCACTTTCTTAGTCAGCCCACTGGCTGTTTCTATTTTTATGTTTAGTAGAAGGGAAATAGTGAGATGTCCCTTTTTTGCTGCCTCTTCTGCTGATAAAAGAAAAAGTGCTACAACTCCTTCCTCTCTTTTTTGGAACAATTAAATATTAAAATATTCCAATATTAATAATAATAATATCCCAATATTAAAAAGGCCATCTAAATGTCTCAGTGTGATCACTCCCTGTCAATTATGAAAAACACTTCCTTTATTTTAAAAAATTCTGCTAGTAAGTTTCTGTATTGTAACATTTCAACTATAAATACTCAAATAGATTATAAAAAATACCAGAAAGTAATATAAATAGAGTAATATATGAATATAAGAAAATATATTAAAATAACACATGAAGCTGAAAAGGAGAGTCGTGCACTTTTCTTTTTTAATATTTTATTGAAAGTTTTAAAACGAGTAAAAACTTATACAAGCTAAAACAGAATAAGAAAGAAAAAAGAAAAAGAAAGACATAAAAGAGGAAACTAAAATAGAAAAACAGAAAAAGGTAGAAGAAAAATAGAAAAATATGGAAAAAAATGACATAACTTCCAATCTTCTTTACAGCAGTTGTAAGTATAATCATAGATAAGTCATTTTTTTCTGTTTTACACAAAAACTTCCTAAGGGGTTTCTAGTCAGCAATAAATATAGATGTTGTTTTTCACTAACCAAGCAGGTTAATTTAACCATCTCAACAAGTTCTATCACCTTTATCAACTAGTCTCCTGTTATAGGTGTTGCAAAATCTTTCCAAAGTCTTTGAGCTTTTCTCTTGTCTACCAAGTATGATAAAATTACTTTTTCTGTTGTTCACATTCCCAAGACAAAGTTGAAGTGCTTTATGCATTCTAGATAATTTTCTGGTATCACATACCAATGGTACATCATTTTCTAAACGTTCTCTTTAATATAGAACAGTGTAACTTTCAATAACCTTTCAACCACATAATTTCCCATTTTCTTTCTATATTATAATCAAAAAATGTAGTCCATGTTATCATACAATCTTTTCATTTTTTCTTCCATTTCAAATTTCAATAAAAGTGTATGCATTTTTGCAGTCTACTGCTAAATTCTTTTTATCTGTGTTAAATCTTTTTGATAACTATAAATAGGAAAACTGTTGACAACTGTGTTCCTCATCCACCAGTTGTTCTCTAGGTTTATTTAATTTTCCATTCCTCTTGATAGAATTGTAGTATCACACAATTTGTGTTTGCCTATTATCTATAAAATGTTTGCTGCACTGAGAGCCACAAAGATACTTTTGAGTACAACCTAGATTTGTATCTACTCTATATTTTTAATATGGCACATCTAACATAGTAATTTTTAAAAATCACATTAACATTGATTTTGTTGTACCAACAATGTCTATGCTATCTAAATCATGTCCTTCTAACTCTAAAAATATTCTATTTCTCAACAACACTCATTCTGTCATATAAATTTAGATATATTGTTTTGCAAGTGTTTAAATGATGCCTCAATTGTCAAAATTGATATTTTCTGAAACAAAAACATCCTTCCAGGCAAAATATTCATTTTTATTACAGAAATACTTCTCAACAACGACAACTGTAATTTCTCCCATCTTAATATATCTTTTTTAAAACTTCATTCCATGTCTTAACCTAGTTTGTTTGAAATAACATGTAGCGCATATTTGTGATGGTAATACACAAATACTTTATTTGCTTATCAATCTGAAAACTCATTTTATTAATCAATTCTGTTTGATCCTATACTTTCATATTTTTGTGGACATCTTTATCTTTTGGTTATTAACCTTAAAATCTGCCATAATCTTTACTCCCACAATTTTCTAATCTTGTCTTATATCTGTGTTCAATATTTCAGTAACTAAAACAAACAGGAGAGAAGGCAATGGGCATCCCTAATTTGTCCCTTTTTGTATCTCACAGGGTTTTGTTAGACATCCCTTGACAATTATTTATGCTTTCTGTGAAGTGTCATGCAGTTTTCAATGTGGACCCAAATATGTCACACAAAACCTATTGTGATAGAACTGTGTCCTGCAATCTAAAACTGTAGAGAAGGCACAAGAATATGTAATTCAACAAAAGATGTAGTAACTGGCTAAAGAAAAAAGAATACATATTGTCACAGCTGTGAGTCTGAACAGCAGGTTGAATGACTATATTTTCTAATAGGTAGGTCAGGTAAAAGAGAGCAGGTATGTTACCGTGATGGCTGGTATTTTCATTTATTTCTTGGGGATTTTTTGGTCTTTCCTGAAATACTTTCCACTAAAAACAATAGGACTAAAAAAAGGATTGAATATTATGACTGATCTTGACAAATATTATTTGAAAGCATCTGAAATTTGGTGCATAGAATAATAATCAGAGCTTTTTCATCAACTCCAAACAATTCTGGTTCATAGTTCAGTTATGAAAAAAATATTTCCACATT